GGACAACGAGGAAACCAGCAGCAGTCACACAACGCATTTCCTCCATCCTGTCCACTGCCGCTCTGGCTTATGATTTCGACCCGAAGTACAGATCTCATGCCGACCATAAACGATGAGTGCGGCACTCTCACCGAGCTAGGTTTAGGCTCTCTGATTCTCCCCCCCTCCACGCGCTTACCTTCCGAATGGCTTGCTCCGGCCCACCTTCGTTCTTCCATCTGATCGGTGAGACCCCTGAAGCCGTCAAACGGACAACGCGGGAACCAGCCCGATGCGCCCTGAGGTCATCAGGTTTTCGGCTTCACCGATCTCCAGTGGGCCACCAAGGCAGCGCTGGAACCTCCGTAAAACCCCAAGAAGCCCCGAAGACACACGCATGCAAAACCTGAAACATACCCCCAACAGGGCCCAACGACTGCCCAAGACCGCCCCGAGGTAACCGGAGACGCCCCCGACACGCAAGCTAAACACATGAACCCTTCCAAAAAGACACTTCAACCCATTTTTCGAAGCTCCCCACCTGCTTCCCTCCCAATTTTCCTTTGCACCCCCTCTTCGCTCCTGCCGCTCCCCTCTTTCCTTTCGCCTGCCAGCTCTGCCCTTCCTCATTTTCCCCACCCGCCTTCAACATCCTTGGGGGGCCCCGCCAAATCCTGAAACGGACAACCAGGGGACCAACATGGCCGCCCTGTTCTCCCCTCCTTCCTTGCTCCTGCCAGTCTCACAAATCATCCCCGCCTGCATTCCAAGGTCGATGTTCGTGGCCTTATCAGGTTGGAAAATTGCTGTATCCCACGTACATTAAGAACATCTAAAACGGGAGACCCGTTTTGAAAAAGAGCCGCCTTCGATCTTCGTAGCTTTTGGAGACATGTAAGACGCTTGTGCGCGGCACTACGGCGAGAGCCACATTTTGAAAACAGCCAGCCCTGAAACCGGCTCGCCCTCCATCCTTGTAGCCGCAGTGATCTGTAACAACGGAGACGCACAGATGTACGGCGAGAGCCACATTCTGGAAACGACAAACCCTCCATGCCCGTATATGTGTCAGGCGTTTAACCAGGCGGCCGTGCGTGTCAGTGAAGCGGGAACCACATTTGGACAACCGCCCGCCCTCCATCCTGGTAGCCGGGGGAAGTGTCAAGCTTCAGGATCATGAGCGGTGATGGAGCCTCATGCGGAACGCCAGGCCACCCCACCCGACACGTTGCGGTGGCGCGCCGTGGAGAAGTGCTCATAAGGAAGATGCTCGGATCGAGGGAGAAAGTTCGGAAGGAGGAGGAAAAGAGGCGGACACCAGACGGATTACGTGCTTGCCCAAGTGAGGCGTTCAAGAAACGGCCCCGCCTTCCAGGGTCGAACGAGTTGGCATCCCCTCCTCGGCGGAGGGCGGCGGACGGGCGGTGGACGGACGGCGAAAGCAAAGCGAGGCCGCCTCCGCCAGGGGAAGACGGCGGACGCTGGCGGAAGTCTCGGGCGGGTGGTCATGGGGGGTGACCCAAATAGGGGGTGAAGAAAAGGGCCCTGAAGCGGCCCTCTAGGGATCCTTTAGGGCGTTTTTCTTCACCCCCCATGTGGGTCACCCCTTCTTGCCACCCGCCCGAAAGTCAGAGATGTGCCCCCGAGAGATGTCAACAATTTCTGGGTTCCGGGTTTCCGGAAATCGGCGAATTTAAGCTCGAGAACGCTCTCGCGGTCGTGGCGGCGGCGGGGGTGGGGACTGGAGCAGGGGGCCCCAGGCCAACCTTCCGAGTAGGGGATCGACTGCAGAATTGAGTCACCCCAAACTTCATCTGTTCGTCGAGTTCACGAACAATTCATGTAATGCTCGTGGATCTGCGAACCTTGTACGTTTTTGTTGTACAGTCCACGAGAAAAGCAAGTTTGAGGTCAAGCCATGCTGTAGACGATCTCCCCCAGTCGAGCGTTGCGGGGGTCCTGCCCCGACCCCACTTTTGGGGACTCCAGACGTCTCCTCCTCCTCCTCCTCCTCCTCCTCCTCCTCCTCCTCCTCCTCCTCCTCCTCCTCCTCCTCCTCCTCCTCCTCCTCCTCCTCCTCCCCCCCCCCCTCCTCCTCCTCCGCCGTGGGGAACCGCGAGAGCACGGCCGGCCCCCTGGGCCGCGACCCCGTGGAAGCGAGGTCGGTTGGGGGAGGGTACAGTTGGGGCGCTGAAGAAGGAACCCTTTTCGCTGGGGAGGGGCTCGGTGTTCCTGGACTGCTTCAAAGTTTGCCTCGGGTTTTCCTGAGGGCTTCCATGGGAAATCGAGGCTGAACTTGTGGGAAAAAGGGGCCTCGCTCCTTATTTAGGGTTCCTTAGGTCAACGCCTCGACTGTACCCTCGTGTTCTTCGCGCTTGTTGGGTGGTGCATCCTGGGGGGAGGGCGCCCCCGAGTGTTCTTCGGCTCGGCTGGCGGAGGGCCTCGTGCTCTTGAGGGGTGCTCTTCTGTCAGAGGGGGGAGGTGCACTTGTGCAACAGCGCGCAGGATCCCAGGAGCGGGCAGGCGCGCGGCAGCGGTGCTGGTCTTTGGCAATGGCCGGTTCGAGGCCCCGAGCTGTTGGCCCTGTCCCGTGTCGGGGCCCAAGAGACGAGGGCCGGTGCAAACGGGGGTCAGCCAGGGCGCTGGATCTTGCAGGATCCTGCAGAGCCAAGGTCGCATTGGCCCAGGCTTGGGTGCAGGATCCTGCAGGATCTTGCAGGATCCGGCAAGGCCTGACGGACCAGGGTTTGGATTGACCCGGGTTGGCAGATCCCCGACCCTGGTGTGCTCTTGCACCCTCACCTGGCGGACAGTGAGTGTGTCTTGTCTGCGCTGCTCGCGGAGGTCCTTTGCCTCTTGCGTGTGGTCTTTTGCTCGTGTCTCTCGACCCTCGACCCTGTCTCTGTCGGCTGGGAGCTCTCGTTTCCATCCTGGTTGCTCCTGGAGTTCTTGACCGCGTCCCTGTCGGCAGGTGGCCTGACCCCAAGCAGCGAGGTTCCTGAGGACTGCACAGAACAAGGGGTCCGTAGCCGTCTGGTCTCAGGTGGCCCAAAGTCTTGCGCACAGGATAGGAGCGCTCCTGCAGAGCAGAGTTTGCGGCCAGACACTGCTTGGCTTTAGCAGTGGCGTTCTTGTGACCACTCTGCGGCGGTTTCTCACCCTGGCATTGGTGCCAGGAGCTGCTACCTTAAGGGCTCCCTCGAGGGCGCGAAGTTATTCGCGCTTCGCGCTTCGCGGTCCTCGTTCCTTCTCCCCCTCCTCCTCGTCCTCCTATTCTCCCTTTGGGAGGGCGGCGCGAGAGCGCGAAGTTATTCGCGCTTCGCGCAGCGCGAAGCGCGAAGTTGGGAGCCCTAGTACCTTCTCCCTCAAGTCGTTCCGGGCAGGGAGAGCAAGTGACCTGGCGACTCAGGGCGAGCCTCCTTTGGGTGCCACTTTGCCAGCTCCTGAGTGGAACTCCGCGCAGTTTCTTTTGATATGTTGGCATCGACGTAGTTGAGCACCAGGTATTGTTCGATCGAGCCTTGACTTCCGACAGTGATGTCGACGCAAGCGTTGCTGCGGCGCCTGCTTTAGAGGCATATTCTTGTTGCTGGACTCACAGCTGGAGCGGGGGGGGGGCAAGCGACCACCCCTGAGCGGAGAGCAGGGACAGATGTTGGTGTTGGATTTGTGGGCAAGAGCGCGGGGGAGTGTCAGGTTTCTGGGGCTCTTTACGAACGTTCAGACACCTCCCACGCATTATTCTGCATGTGCGTTGCTGGGGTCTTAGCTTAAGCGAGGGCAAGCAAATTTGGGAAGGGAGACGGATAATATATAGTACCCAGACCGCCCGACCCCTCGGTGAGTATCCCTGCATGTTCCGATTATGGCCGGAGCGAGCGTGCTGGCTGGTCTGTTGGCAGTTTTGCCGGACAAAGTGAGGTGTTCCGTCCGGGAGGCCTTCGGAGGCCTCTTGGAGGCTCACGACTGGCAGAAAACATCCAAACACGTAATCCTCCTTGGGCTTCGCTCCCCAGACCTCCGACGTTTCTAATTTCCTCGGTACGTGACCCACTGAACCACCCGACCGTTTCAGGGGACGAGCTGTTCAATGTGGGTAGTTTGCTTCTTGGAGACCCCAAGGAACGAGAACGGGTTCCAGATACCGGAATGACAATAAAACTCCGCCTTGATTTTGTCCAAGACGGTGGACGACGACGACGACGACGACGAGGACGACGACGAGGACGACGACGACGACGACGAGGACGAGGTCGACGACGGCGACGACGACGACGACGACCCCCGACGACGACCCCGACGACGACGACGACGACGACGACGACGACGACGACGACGACGACGACGACGACGACGACGGCGACGACGACGACGACGACCGACGACGACCGACGACGGCGACGACGACCCCGACGACGACCACGACGACGACCCCCGATGCCGATGACGACGACGATCACGACGACGACGACGGCGGCGACGGCGACGGCGACGGCTACGGCTACGGCGGCGCCGACCGATGACGCCTGGCATCCTCTGGAGGCCTCATGGGGTTTCCTGGGGGTATCCATGGGGTCCCAGTGGTTTTCCAGAGGCCTCCAGAAGCTCGAGCCTGAATCATGCGTGGAATTCTAGAGGATTGTCGGCGACGGTGGCGGTGGCGACGACGACGACGACGACGACGACGACGACGACGACAACACCGGTGACAGCGGCGACGGCGGCTTCGACGACGGCGACGGCGCCCTCGATCCTCCAGCCTCGATCCTCTTCGAACTTTGACTCCTTGATCCTCAATCTTCGAACCTGGATCCTCCTCCATTTTCCATGCTCGAGCAGCGGTCATTCTCGACCGTCTCACCCCGATCCTCCTCGATGCTCTCCTTCGATCCTCAAACCTCACTCCTCCCCGATCCTCCTCGATCCTCCTCGATCCTCCTCGATCCTCCTCGATCCACGATTCCGGCGGCGGCGGCGCGCTGCTCCGCGTTGGCCGCCAGCGGCGCCCCCGCGCCCGCCAGGAGGCGCAGGGGGCCTCCCTGGCGCAAGACGCGAACGGGGCGCCGGAGTGTAACATACTGCTGGTGGGGGGGGGGGCTTGTGGTGATGGGATGTTGGTGGTGGTGGTGGTGATGATGGTGGTGGTGGTGATGATGGTGGTGATGGTGGCGTTGGTGGTGACGATGCTGGTGGTGATTGTGATGCTGATGATATTGATGCTGATGCTGATGCTCTGATGCTGATGAGAAGCTGATGATTATGATGATGATGATGACGATGATGATGATGATGATGAGGATGATTGTGATGATGATAATGATGATGACGATAATGATGATGGTGGTGATGATGATGGTGATGGTGCTGATGGTGGTAATGATGATGGTGATGGTGGTGATGGTGGTGATGATGGTGGTGGTGATGACGATGATGATGATGATGATGATGATGATGTTGATGCTGACGCTCTGATGATGAGAATACTGATGATAATGATGATGAGGAGGAGGGTAAGGACGATGATGATGATGCTGATGATGATACTGATGATGATGATGCTGATAATGGTGATGATGGTAATCGTATGGTGACGGTGACGGTGATGGTGGTGATTATGATGATGACGACGATGATGATGAAGATGATGATGATGATGATGATGATGATGATGATGATGATGATGTTGGTGATCGTGATGGTGACGGTGATGGTGGTGATGATGATGATGATGGTGAGGACAAGGATGATGATTATGATGATGATGCTGATGATGCTGATGATGCTGATGATGTTGGTGATGATGATGATAATGATGATAGTGATGATGGTGATGGCAATGGTGATTGCAATGGTGATGCGTATGATGATGGGGCTGATGATAGCGATGGTGATGCTTATGATGATGGGGATGATGATAGCGGTGGTGATGGTGATGGGGATAGGGATGATGACGAGGAGGCGGAGGAGGTGGAAGAGTGGGACCAAGGTCGAGCCAAGATGCGTCAACGATGCCACAATACACCCTTCCGCCCCAAGTTTCCTCCCTACGCATTCCTACGAGCCTTCTTTTCCACTTCGAGAAGCGCCCCTTCAACAAAAACAACACCTCCTGGTTCTCACGAACAGGCGGGAGCTCCGTTTTGACGAGCTGCATTGTATCCGTCGGGCGAGTGAGAAGGAACGCGCACCAGTATGACCATGCATCTCCATGCTGTTTCTTGCGATACCCCCGTTTTGACAAAGGGCCGCCCCACGTGTGTTTCTCCTGCACAAGTTCCCTACCTAGGCTCCGCCTAGAAGGGTTCTTACTGTATAAGCTTAAAGGGCCGGGCAGTGTTCCACGCCCCGGGCGGTTCCCCCGGCATCCGCCCCGCAGTTCCCCCAGCTTAGCTTAGCTCATCTTAGCTTAACTTATCTCATCTTAGCTTAGCTTATTCATCTTAGTTCAGCTTAGCTTAGCTTAGCGTTGCCTATCTCATCTTAGCTTAGCTTATCTTAGCATA